ATGGCCCTAAAGTTCCCCGTAATTTGCCTGAGCTCTTGAAAAAAAATCCACTATTGTTTAAAAACTGCTATAAGCAGCGTTTTTGACGTCGAAATAGGCCTCGAAACGGAAGCACAAACTCGAACACCTATTTCAAAGCCCTTGAAAACCAAAAAAATCGTCATTTCGACAGAAAACCTCCAAAAACTCACTAAATCAAGAACCAAAAAATCCGCGGCTCTAGGATCACGCACCAATGAAAACTATATTTTTCCACGTAACAGATTGCACAACCCTATCAACACTATTCAAACCACAAAAAAAAGTTTAAAAAACACAAACCTGCAGCTCGATCGCCACGGCCTCCTTCGGCCCCTTCTCGTCGGTAAGCGCTATCGCCTGCTCGCACAGCCGAACCGTGTCCAGCCCCATCAGCTTCTCCTTGGCTTTTACTAGATTAAAAATTTGTTTGAAAAGTTAAATTTGACTCACTGTTCCGCACCAACAATCTCAGCACCCCGGTGGCGACGAGGCACACCTCTTCTCGGATGTCGGGCAGGCTCTGGAAATCGAAATTAAATATTAGCGGCGTGATAGAGAGAGAGAGAGAGAGAGAGAGAGAGAGATAAATTCTTACCTGCGAGCCGGTGCTCAAGTTCTGCTTCCAGACGTCGTGCAGCGTGGCGGTGGTATGGTGAGCCAGGTGCGTGCGGGCTTTTCCTAAACAATTTTTTTCCGCTTACAAAAAAAAAACATTTAAAAAACCTACTAAACCAAGGGAATAATTTTTGAAAATATTTAGTTATTTACAAATAGACATTCATATTGAAAAATAGTTTTAAAGACTCGGATCCACAAATGGTATTTGCTAGCCTGCCTTTTAAATGCAGTTAAATCTAGCCCGTATCCTAAAGAATCCCTGCTAGCCTGCCTGAGTTCTATCTATAGAGATCTAGTGCGCTAAAATACAGAAATAACTAAAAAAATAGAACCGCAAATGAAAATAGCTTTCCCCGGCAAGCGGGACCGGGACCCAACGGGGCCAATGGTCAGTTGATAGATGGCCAAGTGGCCAAGAGGAAGCGAAACGTGATCCAGCACCCCCAGGCAAAAATCAGCTGGATAAGACGGGGCGAAAACAACACAAAAAAAGTCCGCTGGGTCTTTTTGAGCACCTTATGGGCCCATAACACTGTGGGGTGATGGCCCGGAAAGTGTAACTCCTAGGCGAATTCACGCCTCCCCGCAATTTTATGGGTTTTGAAGGGAGGAAAAGCCTAAAATATAGTTTTTTTCAGCTTCCGGCCCCAGAATTCGCTCAAAATTGCTGGAAAACTGGTCAAAAATTTTAGGAATCGGCGTCATAAAGGAAAGAATAGTATCCTTTATGCAGTTTGTTTAACCAACTTTTAATTTTAAGAAAAACTAGTTTAAAATTGAAAAACTCACTATTCTTCGCTAACAAAAACACAATCTCCAGCCATCGCGCGAGCGCCAGTAGCAGATTTTCCGAAGCGGAATCGTCCTAAAGTAGCTTTTTCTTCAGCTAAAAACACCTTACCAGATCCTCGTCGTCTCGCTGAAGCCCGGCGATTTGTTGCTGAATTTTTTCGAGGTTCCCAGGAGGCCGGGAGATCAGCTGGGCGTTTCGGGCTAAAAATTTAGCTTTTAAAAGTTGAAAAAAGCCGCTACCGGTCCTAACGCCTCTACACAATAATTTGAGGATGGAGACCCAGGGCTGGCCGCGTTCGGTGACGGCGCGATCGAAGATCGGGGTTAAAACGGCGCCCATCCGCAGCTTCAGGGGTAGTTTTTGGTCTAAAACCAAAGTAAGAAATTTTTGAATTAAGGGTAGCTTTCTACCTTTTCCTAAAATCCCTTTCTCAGCTCAAAACACTATTTTCCGAAGTTTTGCCTTTTTTGAAAATCACTTTTCATCTCCCAGGCTCGCCAAAACAAAGATCACATTTTTCCAGACCCTAGAAGATCTTCGTTATGCTCCGGATACTCCTACGCAAGGTCATTTTGCCAACTCCTGCCAATTGGGGGCCGATTTGTGAGTGATCGAGCGATAGCATCGGCACGTACCCTTGACTGCCACGAGCAGCAAGACGCTCGACAACCGATCGACGCTCTCCATCGAGCCGTTGCCCTTCAACAACGTCCGCATGGCGCGCAGAAGCGGGGAGGTTGCATCGAGGCGCTTCAATTTCTTCAATCTCTTCGATCGGGCTAAAAAATTGGAGATAATAGGTAATTTTCAGCACTTATTTCTAGCTTTTTATCCGAATCGAGCGCGTTTTCAGAGTGCATTTTTTCCAAACCAAAAAAAAGACGTTTTCCAGGCAATACACTACCAAACTGCCCGGTAGGTACCCTTCTTCCCCCTCGCAATTAGCCAAGGCCGATTGAGGCGCCGTGGGCGGTCCAGCCAAAGATAAGGGCCTATCATCCGCGCCAGACCTGTCAATCAGACTTACCGGTGGCGGTTCCTTGTAGAAGATAAGCCCCGAGGACGTCCAGCAACCCATGGAGCGCCGGCGGATCGGGGACTTGCTAAAACTTTACTATAATACCTTCCAATTAAATACAGTAACTTTCATGACACCCGATTTTTGCTCACTATTCAAAAGAGTGAATTGTCAGAAATCATTTTCTAAGCGGAAAAGAACACGATTTTGCAGTGCCAACAGGGAAAAAGCAAAAATTCAGTGAGTTAGTTCATAAATACAATTTAATAAGCTTTTCAAAATTAGGAGACAAACCTCAATAGTGCGTAGGAGAGTTAGTAGATTCTTTTCAACGGAAACTTCTAGCATCAACGATTTCTTAGAGGTTGGAGAGGCCAGCCGCTCGTCAATTTCAGAGACCAAGCTGCTTCGTCTCCCGGAATCGTTGGCGGCACAGGAGGCCAAGAGCGGCCGCAAGAAGCCCTCATCGCTGTAATTTCCAGGTTAAAGCAAGACGGCATGCTTTGGAGAGCTTAGCACACGTTATTGTGTGCTCGGAGATGTTAGAACGCTTTAAAAAGTCTGTTTTAACTAGAAATTTGAAAATCCTGCAGAAAAAGCAGATAATTTTACCTTGTCCCCGGCTCGCCCGACGCCGCCTTCAATTCGATGCGCCGGACCATCGCTTAGGCCATCTACCGCCGACTACGTCACGATGAAGCTTGCAAAAACAGCCAAGAAACCTCTTTGCGCCAATCCTGTATGCTTAGCTGTACGAACCGAAAATTCTTTCAAGAAATTTATTGACAAGACACAAAAATGAGCACGAGAAATAGGGACTGTTCGTCCCTGGGGGACTAGAAGCACAACTAATCGCCGAGTAAAGCAACTAAAGACAGAAATTAATTAATTGATCCTGTTGGTCTGGAGCGGCGGGACGTCTACATGCCGTAGCTGCCGCCGGCCTGAAAAAGGAGGGGTAAGGTATTGAAGAGGGGGACAACCGCGTGCGCCACGTAACCCCTAGTGACCGAACAACAGAATTTTAGAAAATCTCCAATAAGGCGCAGCGGCTATATAAAGCCTGGAAAAACTTCCACACCTAATAGAAAATTTAAACGCAAGAAGATTTTTCTAGGGTAGAGTGTAGGCAAGAAGCCTTTGAACTGATAATAACCGATTTCTGTTAAAAATAATTGCTTTAACTAGAAAAACTTACGTTAATCGCATCGCATTCTTCTTGTGAAATAAGCGGTCGGAGAAACCTGCAAAAACAGAATAAATCGAAAATCTACAGTATTGAACCGTTTCGGCGTCTGGGCTTCGGGAATTCCCTGTCCGCGTGGAATCTTGCCAACAGCTCCAATTGAAGTGGGCTTGGCGGCCGAAAGAGGGGAAACTGAAACGACTCTATCGTATTTTAAAAAAAAGCATATCTTAGCGTATTAGAAGTGCTAAAAACTGACCAGCGCTTCCAGCGACCTGCAGCGGTGGCAGGCTGGCCCTGAAAAAACAACAGAAATAAGCTAGTTGCCGGCTTTCTTACCTGTTAAAATTCGGCTTCGGCAATCGGGCGCCAACGAATTTGATCATCGGAATTCGGGCAGCCTGAAATTAAATAACTTCGGGTGTACAAGAAATCACTTACTGCAAAAACCGTTGTTTGAAGATGCATCTTTTGCGTTTGTACAGGTGGTCGTGGGGGATTGGCAATCGGCTAAAAAAGATATGAATTTTTGTAAGCTGACGATACCTGTGGTGAAGACCCTGGAGAAGAACTTGGACGTATCACTGGCGGGACGGCGACTGACTTGGCGGACCTGGCGTGATCGGTCAAAGCTGGCTTTGATCCGAACAAGTTCAGAAGCCTTTCGAAGAACCGCAAGCGGACGAGTGGCCTAGAAAAATAGTTGGTAAACGCAAAATCTTAGCCAGCCTCCCACTACGTTAACAAAAAGCAGTAAATTATAAGGTGAGGGTTGCGGAGAGGGATTGGGTTTGAGGGAAGAAAAATACAGTTTACTAGTCGATTCCTAAAAGCAATTATTTTTAAAAAGCAACGCCCTATCTGGAACCTGTTTTAGATAATTGAGGGGTTAGAAGATGTGCGGGCTCGAAAAATGAGTGCTTGGAAAATTCGTCAGTGGTGATGGGCCGATCGCAGAAAAGCGTGCTAGGTTTTTTTCTAAACTTGCTAGTGGACCGAAGCAAGACAACACAGCGACAGCACGACAGACACGAGCACAACAGAATGTTGCGTCAAAGATTTACGTTTTTTGCAAAAAGGCAATTATGGACATTCGCAGGTGGTCGTCTTCTGTCTAAAGGGAATGATAATAAGCCATTTCGTAAAAGTTTTATTTTTAAAGTTTAGTTTTTGGTTTCTTTCTTCAGAGAAACCGGGCCTAATGGGTGCACAGTTTTCAGGGATTTCCTTTGTCGCGCCGGGGTTGATTCGCTATTTGTAGCGCTCCGTACGCAACGCGGTAAGTTAAAAAATATAAATGGCGCTTTTATTACCTTTACAGTTTTTCTAGAATTTTACTTTTGAAAGTAATACGAACTTTAACGATGCAGATTGAATTGGTTTACAGGTTGGTTCTTTTCAAAAGTCATTATATCGGTTTTAGAAAGGGCGAGAACCCGATTATGATAGAGCTGCACGGCTCGCTGGATTCGGCTGTACAATTCGATGGTCAACTTCTAGGTATTATTGCCCAGATCATGATTATTATACGATTTTAGGCTGTTTACAATGGTTGACCGAAAAGGAGGCCATGCTCGCAGTGGGTACCCAAATTATTCGCGGAAAGCTCGTCGAGGTAAAGGTTTTTTGACTCGACAAAAACGTAGGAATTTTAGCTCGACCAACCGCTACTCCTCGTCAAGCCACACAACGTCGACGAGCTTGAAGAGACGGTGGGTGCTTGAATTACTTTAATTCCTAAAATCAGTAATTTCAGGACGGAGGTGAGGTCGAAGTCTCACATATCGTCACGCGAAAACTGGTGTTCAACTCCAAGCCCGTCGACATCATCGACACGTTGATGCCAAAATTGGAAAGCAAGGAGGACGGGACGCTCTCGCAAATGTCGCAGTGATTGCTTTGTAACTTTTCATTTTCCATTTCTCTTCTCCCATAGCATCGGGTCTGTATTTCGGGTTTGTAATCTTTTTACTTTTTGAGCGACTTTTCTGTGCATTCCGATTTTTCTTTGCATTTCATACATTAGTAAAGCTTTATCCTGTCCACCTATCCAGGCGTAAAAGCACTTCATAAAGGGGTGGGACACAGGCAACCAGGTGACAAAAGTTATCGCCGAGTTATTCTAGACGACATTCTAAAGTGGATAGCTGCGGTTTGCTAGCTGAAAAAAAAGACTTGTGGCCGGCCGTCAATCACAGTACGTATGAATGGGAAGTTATGAGATTTTTGTTGTGACAACGGAGAGGGTTTTGGGCTTTTGAAAAAAGACTGGTTTTGCGAAAGCACCGGGAGACACATGGAATTCGGGGAAGGCCACTGTAAATGGGGTAATCTCTTGGGTAAGATTTTTAGAGGAGATGAAGTGAGGGCCTGTATTGGTTTTTCTCCAGGTAGAATTGGCGTCGAATCTCGGGGTCTGAGACGGTTAGCCAATGGTATCTGGAAAATTGGGGTATTTTTGGTGATCTGGTGGTCTTACCTGCTCGGGCTTTTGATCGGTGCCTTTCCGGCAGATTTTTTGTGCTCGCAGAACAGGCGAACCTGAAAATATCGGTTTTTCCAATGTGTTGTTGTAATGTTTATCATGTTTTGGCGTTTAAACGTTTTTGAACGTGTTGGACCCACCTGCAAGCCGTGTGCGATACTTTCCATCGGTGTCGGCGCACATCGTAACCGGACGATTTGTGACGGGACGAAAAGGGCGTTTGAGCCTTCATCGAGGAGGTGCTGGAAAGGATAATGTATATCAGTAACGGTAAATTCTAGTAAAGTAAGGTTCTTCAACCACTTACCCTATAACATTTAGAGATGACCATCGCGAAGAAGTACTCGAAGCCGAATTCACAAGTGGGAAAAGGCTGGTCATGAGCGGCCATTGCCTGCTCGGTGGTGATCGACTTGTGGACGAGCACGTCGACTCGGGTACTGAAACCGAAATAAAATTACTCCCAGAAACTCACTCGTCTTTGTTGTATTTACAAATCATGAACTCGACGAAAAGCCCGGCGTACGGCTCGTTTACTGGCAAAATTGGGGGCACGTTGGCGAAGCGTTTAGCCGTCCGATAGGCCAGCCCTTCGTCCACCAATTTCAGGAAGTCTCGGCCCCTGGAAGGTATATTTTTCACGTGTTAAAAGATTTTCTAAATTTTAGAAGATAAAATAAAGGAATAAACAGTGTTTTCTGAAAAAATTACAGTTTTTAAGCGGTTTTCACTTCAATTTTGTGGCTCAAAGCGTTTAATAAAAAGATAGAAGTCAAAAATGAAGCCGTAAAAGGCGTTATAAGTTAAAAAATAAATGGTTTATGCGTTTAAGCATTTCTCCCGTCCATTTAGTTGCTAAGTCTTGGATAAAAGGCCATAACCTAAGGAAAAACGCTGTAAAACTTATAAGTAGTTAAAAAGTCGGAATTTTTACGCTTTTCCTTGCTTTTCGCGTCACTTACCTCAATTTTACCGGCGGCTTCGAAGACGTGATCTCCTTCACCTTGAACCATTGTGCTTGCAGTGATTCTCGGTCTGGATAATCTTTTAGGGTGCCTCCAGTCACTGTCGCGACATAGGCAAACCGGTACCACCCGCTGCCTTGGATCTGGAAAGCAGCTTTGAGTTATATTTCGTAAGGTATACAAGGTAAAGTAGTATTTTTACCTGCATCGATAGCATTTCATTGACCTCAACTGTATATCCGGCTTCTTCCAAAACTTCGCGGTGGACAGATTCCTAAATATATGAAAATTTCAGGCAATTCGGCCGAGCTTACAATCAATGTCTCGCCAGCTTCCACTCGTCCAGCTGGGAGATACCATTTCTCGTAGCAGCTTTTCTTGGCTTCTTGGATGAGGAGGATTTCTATGTCGTCGCCTTCGCCGCGCAAAATTACAGCTGCCGCCACGTAGTTGACGTTATCGTGTAGGCGGACAAATCGGGCTCCTAGACGTTTAAAAAAATGGATTTTTTCGATTTAGTTTTTAATTCAGCTGTAATTAAACTCGTTTAGTTTTCTCTTGGTTAAAAGCCTACAAAAAACCTTCGTAATTTAGCTACGATTAAACTTTCTTTGGTTTAAATGGGTAAAACAATACAAAAAGCTATGTTTAACTGTAATTAACTCATTTACATTAAAATTTTATTTATTTTTAGTCTTAATTAAAAAAATATAGAAAACCTACGCCCAAGCTGCATATCAAGGACGCGTTCCTTCTTGATGGCTTCGGAAATGCCATTTGTCGAATGGGAAGGGGTGTGCCGGCTGACTGGGTGCGAGGGTGATACCTAAAAATATTAAAATAGATGTAATCCGGCATTTTTTGGTTTCAAAATCTATTTGAACCGTAAGAAATACAAATTTTAGTATAGTAAAAGTGTACCTGCTCGGGCGGGAGGTCACCCTGCGGCTCCGGGGTGGGATCTTTTGATTCGGCAATGTACTCCTCGTCTTGGAGAGCCATTACAAGCGTGTAAGGCACCTAAAAGTATACATTAAAAGCTATAAAAAGTTTACTAAAAATAGGAAAACCGGTTAGAATTAAAAATAGGGTAAAACAATCGTATCCTACTTTCTGTAATTACCAAATGAAGATAGGCCCAGAGTTTTCAGTCAATGAAAAAGTGAAAAGACGCGAATGTGGCCCATTTCTCGTCTTGGGCTGACAAGAGAAATTCGAGCCGCCATTGAACACGGGGAGGAAGACACGGGCCGAGGGGGACATGAGCATGTGTGGCCCATTTGTGCAATGGGATCCTCGAAACCGGGACCCCACCTGCGCTCAATTCGCACATAAGGAAAGCGGGTTCGGCGGATATTTGATGTCAACTTTCAAGGAACGTGTAAGGCATGCTTATAATTACGACTAGACTAAACTATAGATTTACTGGCGGTTTTATCGCGCTGTGACCCGCGACGCAACGCAACGCGCGCCTTGGCTCGCCGTTCTTTTCCGGTCGTAATCGATTACGCAATATACCGGCTCGCGTGTGCGTCGCGTGTCGCGTGCGCGGCGGAATCGAGGAGTGATCCATAACTACGCATTGCCTGTCCCTTTAAAAAAAACTTAACCCTAAACATGGTTTTTAAAGGGACCGTGAAGCAAATACGCCGGAAAAATTCATCGTTTTGCCTTGAAAATCTCTTCAAAACTAGCTTTTGCTTTTTCCCGCGGCCAAAACACAATATTAACATAATTTTTTCAGTCCGAAATGATGACGCGCTAACCGAGTAAAGTTGGAGGCTAGAATATGGCTGCGAAGGAAGAGGGGGCTCCGAGTAGAGTGAGGGCCCCTAGGGGGCTTGGGGCCCAGTTGGAGGGCCCCGGATTCCGGATTCGATGCATAATAATGGACGCTGGGGAAGGGGGCAAGATCTTTTCTGGCGAGGCGGGCGTTAAGCCGCCAAAAAACTTATCGAGCAAAAAAGTAAGGATCTATAGACATCAAGCCAAATTTTGGAAATTATGAAATTTGCTGGCGTTGACAGTACAAATTCTAATACTAAAAATTCGATGGAAAGGAGCTAGTTTCGGATCGAAAAATGAAGGTTTTTAGTTCTAAAAAAAGATAGATGTTATCTAAAAAGGCAAATAAAGTTAGCTAATAATTTCAAAAACCTATTTGAAAACATAAAATTTATCGAAAAACAACGAATGTAGAGTTGGGAATTCCGGGGTCCCATGGCCTCCTCTCGGTCATCCAAAACAGTGCCCGGGCGGGGTCGACCCGCTCTCGGCTCGGGTCCGTGCCCTATTGAGCTACCGAAGCACGCGGATGCCCTCTCGGGGCAGCTATCCATGCCGGCCCCACATCCAACATCCACCCCCAGGGATGACTGGCCCAGTCATCAGACACTGTGTACCATCCGTCAGAGCCCGGGTGGATCCTGCGGATGACACCAGTTGGGAATTCTGGGGTCCCATGGCCATGGACTAGCCGGGTCATCCGCGTGCTCGGGCGGGGTCGAACCCGCATCCTCGGCGGTCCGTGCCTATTGGCTACCGGCCGCGGTGCCCCGGGGCGCTATCCATGCCGGCCCCCCAACGTAGTAAAAAGAAAACTTATGAAAAATACGCGGAAAACAGAATAATTCTCGAAAATTAAAGCTTTTCGATTGAAAATAGAGTTCCAAGAAGCGCTAAACGAGGTTTTAAAAACTGTTTTAAAACGTCCAACTTTTAGATTCCAGTAAAAATAAATAAAAACATCAATTCACATCACAGAATTCTCGAAATTGCGGGTTTTTCATTGTGAAATCGGGCTTTTAAGGCCCGTGGGATCCCTTCTAACCCTAGAAGTGCCCCAAATTTCCGGGTTCAGGCTATGATGCCGAAATCCATTGGGGAGCGCGAGCCGGGCAGGCCGGAAAGGAAAGAGCCCCCCTCGCACAGCCCGGAATAGCCGAAAGAAAAGAAAAGAAACGAAAGGAAAAGCCTCTCGCCCCCTGAGGGCACACATCGATTCGAAGGAGGACGGGCTGTGTGTGTCTTTGCAGCTTTATGTTAGCATAGAGTTAGTTGGGGCTCAAGGAGCATGAGGAATCTCAAACTAAAAACGAGCACGAGAAAAATAGGGTTTTCTGAATTTTCTGTCGTAACGTTTTAGCTTCAGTGGCAAAAGGAGCATGAGAAAACTTAAACTAAAAAATTGAGCACGAGAAAAATCGGGTTTTCTGAATTTTATCGTAAGGTTTTTGGTTCATCTTGTATGGTAAAAATTGGGTTAATTTGACGTAAAAATTCCGGCCAACAAGCCATGATAATTTAAATAAATGAATAAACACTTTAAAAATGTCAGTATATTGACAATAGCCGATTTAAAGGGTGTAATTTGGTGTAATTCGTAGCCGTTGACAACCCCCGTTAGTTTTGGCGTTTTTTGAAATGAGTTTTAAAGGGCCGTTAAAGGAAGCACTATGGATTTTATTTGGCTATCGAAATCTCGTAAAAATACAATAAAAACCTAAAAGGGGGGGGGGGGGGGGCTTGGGGAAAACCTCCCCCTTAATTACTTCTTATTTTTATATTTAAACTAAAATAAACCTACTCATGAAGAAAGTTATTAAAAGATATCTAACGATACCACTTTTTGAGGTGAAAAACAAGGTTCTAAAGCCTTGAAGCGCTGGCTATAGGAATAAGGATAGCTATCAGCCGCTCAATAAATCAAGCTGTCGGTGGCTCGAGGCCCAGGTGTGTGTGCCGAGGTTCCGTTTGGCAGGTAGCGGAGCGGAAAAGAGAACGCCGGCTGGGGGTTGAGGCTTATTTGTGAGTGAGTGAAGTGTGGATGTGTCACTGGGGGCCTTTTTCAGTTGCGGTTCTCTCTCTCTCTCTCTCTCTCTCTCTCTCTCCCTCTCTCTCTCTCCTCTGAGGCCTCGTCACTGCGGTATTTCGTCCATTTTACACCCATCGGTCAGTCAGCCCCAGGACCACCCTGGACCCCTTAATTTGAAGCCGCTTCACCCCCTGACACCTAGCCGCGAGATTTGCCACGCTATCAGGCGGGAAATCTGGGTTTTAAAGGCTCTGGGAAGACGGTTTTTTCATGGATTTCTCAAAGAATCTCTGCTAGCTGTGGCTCGACATTAATAGGAGGCACAGCTCCCAAAGGATCTCTGTTAGTTCGCTAACGTAGCGGTATGAATGAAGAGTTCCCAAAGAATCTCTGCTAGCTCGCCAACGCATTAATAGGCACTAAATTTCCCAAAGAGTCTCGGTTAGCTCACTAACGCGCCGATAGCCAAGAATTTCCTAAAGAATCTCCGCTAGCTGGCCCCTGCAGAAATTTGGCGAAATTTTCGAAATAACGAACGCGATCGTAACAAAA